GGGTTTTCAAATGGTATTTTTGGTTTGTTTTTTTTTGTTGTTTTTTTTTTTGTTTGTTTCTTTGTTTTCTTCTTGTTTGTCTGTTTGTTTGGTGTGTGTCTTCAAGAAATGCGTAGGTCAGTGGTATACGTTTATTTGATTTAGTGCCGTCACTGTAAACTATGTATGTAAAGAGAGAGGTAAATATACAGTTAACCGTGCATGTGTGTCTTTAAGCTGGTCTCTGTATATGTATTGTGTTGTGTGTGTGTATGTGTACGGCGCGCGCGCATGTATATATTCATATACATGTATGTATATTTGTTGTGTTTGCTATATAATGTGCGTATGTGTGCGTATGCAACATACATACACTCCGCTCTTACATATCTTTTCCATCCCTTACCTCTCTTCACAAAAAAAAAAAAAAAAAAAAAAAAAAACGATTTAGAGTCATTTTCCCATCCTTTAACACGCAAATCCTCTTCGCAGGTGTACCACATGTGCGACACGCTGGAGAAGCAATATTCGTACCTGTGTCCCAACTACACCCTCTTCAACCAGAAGTTCATGGTGTGTGACCACTGGTACATGGTCAACTGTTCCTCGGCAACCACCTTCTACGACCTCAACGACCATATTGGCGAGGGTATGTGGCGGAGGAGAGTTTTCTTTTGTTTCTGGTGGGAAAAGGGGTTGTTTTTTAATGTGTGCGGGGGCGTGGTTTGTATTTTAGGGGTAGGTGTGGTGGAAATATATTTAGGCTTGTATTAATCTATAATATGAATATTATATATATAATAAAATCTATAATATAAATGTAAATATAATATAAATCTAAAATATAAATATTTTAGGTTTGTAATGTATTTTAGGCTTGTAGATCATTCCAACGCGCGATTCATCTAAAATTTGAATTTGACAGTTTTAAAAATGTTGAGGTGGATTTATACCCATGTCTCGCTGGCTACCCTACTCTTCGTGTGTCCTTTTAGCAGTAAAATCGAAATATACTTTGCGTAGCACCGCAGTTTGCAAAAATAAAATCATACTTGCACAAGCTTACAGGGAAAGTATATAGTGCTTTATTTGCATGTCTGAACCTTTAGGAAAAGATTTAGAGAAATTCCTTTTCTGTTGATGTTTAAATGTATGTCCGGTCACTTTCCTGAGCACTTTATTTTGTTGACATTAATCGAAGGCTGTGAGCGTGTTTTGTGTAATTCGACGAATTATTTGCTGTCAGCGAGTGATCCACAAGGCAAACTTCAAAACTACAGATATAGTAGATTTACGTTTTATTATCTTTGGAATATCCGTGCACCGTTTACAAGACATTAAATCGGATCTAACTGGCGTAATAGACCCAAGATTTCATTTCTAACAGCTGATGTGTTTTTGGTTCTCAGTTCCAGACAAGACGGACGGCCAAGGCGCCGGAGCCAACGCGATCCACGACGGCGGTGAAGGTTCTCCCGAGAAGGACTCTCCGAGGAAGGAGCCGAAGCCCTCACCTGCGGCAGTCGTTTCCAAAGCCCCCGGGACATCTCCCACGAAATTGGCGTTCCCGACCACCGTCAGCTTCAATCAGCAGCGGACTTCGCCGAGACCACCACCCAGCACGAGTCCAGCTCCTGCCGCTGTGTCCCCTCCTCGGAACCTCACGGCGTCCTCGGGGCCCTCACCTGCGTCGGAAATCTTCAAGGGCCCTCGGCTGCCGACGAAGCTCGATTCTCGCGTCGACATCCCCTTCCTTCAGACGACGCTGACGGCACCCCCCACCCCGATGGTCCCTGCCTTCGTGGCGCGCGACCCCGTCAGCAAGTTTAGCTTCACCAGCAACAGAGAAGAAGACTCGTCCTTCGACCCCATAGAGCTGCAAGACATCGTTTTTCGGCCGCTGGTTGTTCGGCCGAAAAACAGGATCATTTCGACCGACTTGGTTCCGCCGCCGATGCTGAAGCCTTTGCTCGCCACCGCCAGCCCCCTCGACCAGCAGGCTCGGCAGTCAACTCCAGCTGATTTTGCGTCTTCCCTGAACTCCACGGCGTCTGGAGGATTCCGATCGCCTTTCACTCGTTTGCAGCCTCCGAGAAGAGGCTCAGAGGTCACCCTAAAGCCCCGGGGAAGCGGCTCACCCGTCTCCTTCACTCCCCCCCGAATAGGAGCGCCAGTGATCCCTGCCATAGGCTCGCCCGCCATTCCCCCGAGTGTCCTCCTGGAACCCCCTCCGGTTTTCCCGATCCGCTTCGACTTCGGGACGGTGCCTCCTCCCCCGCGCGGCCAGAGACTGCACGCTCAGCCTCCGCCCGCTCCCAGGATGAAGCAGGAGGCCCCGACGCCGCTAGCCTCGCGCACGGGTCTCCTCCGGCCTTTACACACATCCAGCGTGGAATCCATGCACTTCTCTTCGGCTCGCGGCAACCGGGACTTCTTCATCCCTTCCGAGGGCTTGACTCTGCCGGCGGAGGACCTGTCCATCGTGAGCGAGAACAGCCTGGGCGACCCGCATCACCACCACGCACACGACCACGATCACGACCACATGACGATGGTGTTCCCCGTTGATCCCAATGAGGAGTTTGCGGCGCTCAAGCTGAATCCTGAATGCCCCAGGTGCCACCCTGCCTTCCTGAAGCCAGGCCAGTGCACGCCCTGCGTCCTCATCAGATAGAGATGGATTTAGTCATTGCCGTAAAGAGAAGTAGTCTAACCTAAAACGTTGAGCGATTGAAGGGGGAGGGAGATATATTTGTAACTATTTAATATTCACGTAAAAAAAACACTGAGAATTCTATGCGGAGATGAGGGACATAAGTTCATGTTTGCATTTTTTAAAAACCTTTCAACTTTTTAAAAATATATTAAAATAGAACTAAAAACTCAACAAGACTGTTTCCCTGCGTGGTTTAGACGTAATTTGACAACTTGCATTTTATATAATACCCAAAGAAAAAGAAACCAATAGAAAAAAAACTGATCCCTGCCTGCCTAGGAATATTTTTGTAGCTACCGTACCCTAGCCGTTGCACGTACTATAGTCATTAGAATATCGCAGTCTGTCTAAAAACATAATTGAGAACGCGCCGTCTCTCATCATAGAAAACGTGGAAGACTGTATTTTTCCAGAACAAATATCTGCATTTAGGCCTTTTACATATAATTAGATGGAAGTACAATAAACGCCATACATTTCTTTGCATTTGCGGAAGCTATAAGGCTAAATAATTAATTATCATAAATATTAGAAGGGTAGACACGACATAGCAAATGCAACAACCATACCACAGTACCAGAAATAATTTATTACTGAATTATGCAAGGATAGGCATGTGAAGTTTAGAATCTACAAAGAAATCTGATCTGCAAAACCTGGCGCTTTGTTGAATTATATTATTTTCGTATTAATTAACATGCTTTTGCTAGTTTTACTTCCTATATTGTTTGAATTGGGTGTAATGCTAAAAATATATATTCGACAACGCTTACTAAAATAGGTGAATTTGTAAAGCCTATTCAGTAATTAAGCAGCAGTAACAGGCAGTAACACAAGCTACGCTACAGACCATTAGTATGAACAAAATGTAGTATCATAGACTGTACTAGATCATTACAGGAAGTGTGCAAATGTAATTCTCATTCTCACAAGTACAATAAGTACCTGGAACGATGCATTTATATCTATTTACTGAATACCGTGTTAATCTTTCCATACAAATAAAGTTCGAGATACAAGTCTATGGATAACAGAATCACAAAATTTACCAGAGCCAAAAGCCGGTCAAGAAATGAAAGGTTTTCAGTCAACTAATAACCATCGATGTGTCTTATTTTTCAAGTGTATTTTCGTCCAATGCTCCATTTTCTTGCATACGTGGCCAGAGTTGGATAAATATTTGGTGTATGTGTAAGGGTATCAATAACTTCGGAAATTCTCCCACACATGGAATGAAGAGAGTATTGCTTATAAATGGACAGTGTTCTAAGTGTGATTACATACCTCATGTAGGATTTTGATGTCATAATTATGAAAATGCGACATTAGATGAAGTATACAATGGAAAAGTATAAGTAGATGTATAGTTATTTTCCATTCATCTGTCAAGAAAATTCATGTGTGTGTGTGTGTGTGTGTGTGTGTGTGTGTGTGTGTGTGTGTGTGTGTGTGTGTGTGTGTGTGTGTGTGTGTGTGTGTGTGTGTGTGTGTGTGTGTGTGTGTGCGTGCGTGCATGTGTGCTTTTGTGTGCATTTGTAGGTAGGTGGCTGTGTGTGTGGGATATATTTCTGTGTAACACACACGGCTGCACTACATAGCAATAAACACACTCATGCACATGCACACACACAAAAGTATAAATGTATGGTGAATGTTACACATACAGCATGCACATAAATTCATTTGTGTGTGCACATATTTTTTGAAACTATGTGCATGTATGTTCTTGTTCATGTTTGTAAACTGTTACCATAAAAGGTGTGCAGGACACAGCTCTTCTAGTTTAGATTTTCTTTGTATTAGTATCAACACTCAATTAAAACTGAAACTTGCATCTTGTTCATTAGAAAATAATTTGCAAAATCTCTAAAGTTCATTACCTTATAATCAGCTTTTTAATACATTACTTTTGTCTTTTATTTTTACTTTATTTTTTGTCTTTATTTCCTATTGGATATGTGGATTCTTCAAAAAAGATGTCACAGTAAACAATTATCTACATCGTGTTTTACTTTCCTATTTTGATATCGTTTCTGGGATGAAAGTATATTATCAAATCTTTGTCTTTTACATTTAATAATTCAATAGAGGAAAACTTAAAACACTTAAAATCAACACCAGAAATTTACATTCAAAATGAACACAAAAAAATTCAGGATGGTTATTCTTCTTTACATTAACAAAGGAAGATAATTTTCATATCAAGTATCTATTAATAAAGCATTAAGTCTGCCAAATTACCATCACATTTCAAGTATTCAGAACATATAGACAATTTATAAACATGAGGTTTTCAAAAAGACAAACCTTTCTAATTACAACATATATTTACATTCAATAAAAATATTGTACAAGCAATAAGCAATACAAAATGACAACGCTTCAGTGGCTATACACGTGTCTTCCCTTCAAGATCCTTCTCATCAAAACTTTCCGTCCTGACAGCGTAGCCATACGGGCCTTCCATCCATGTCGCTTGACACGCTTCACTTCGCTGGGACGGGAAGTGGTTTCTAACATTTGTGCGCCCACTCACAGCTCCTGGGAAAGAACATAGAGTTTTGGTAATCTAGGATAGCATAACCACCCACAACCTTAATGGAAGGAGAGAGGAGAGAGAGGGAGAGGAGAGGAGAGAGAGAGAGAGGAGGAGAGGAGAGGGAGGGAGGAGAGGGAGAGGAGAGGGAGAGGGAGAGGGGAGAGGGAAGGGAGGGGAGAGGAGAGGGAGAGAGAGAGGAGAGGAGAGAGAGAGAGAGAGGAGAGAGAGAGAGAGAGAGAGAGAGAGAGAGAGAGAGGAGAGAGAGAGAGAGAGAGGAGAGAGAGGAGAGAGAGGAGAGAGGGAGAGAGGAGAGAGAGAGAGACGAGGAGAGAGAGAGGAGAGAGAGAGAGAGAGAGAGAGAGAGAGGAGAGAGAGAGAGAGAGAGAGAAGAGAGGAGAGAGAGAAAGGGAGGGGGGGAGAAGGAGGGAGAGGGAGAGGGAGAGAGGAGGAAGGAGAGGGAGAGAGGAAGGAGAGAGGGAGAGAGAGTTTGCCATAGATATATCTCTAATACATATCTATAATTGCCCTCTGTGCCTATACATATTCCAGTTGGTCTCTAACATATTTGCTAAGATAAAGCCTATCCACTATCCTTTTTTATTAAATAATGTACCAACTTAAAAAAAAAAGAAAAAAACCATTCTAAGTTTTGTGTGGATTTGGATACAACTTAATCAAGTGTAATAAAAGACTAGTTTCGACTGCCCAACATGATAAATTAGGCACAAGAATTTCAATTGACCAGTAATGGGACAAAGTAAATCTAGAACCCTTTTTGCTGTATCTGATGGATTCACCACATGAGTGTTCATCTGGGCCGGGCCTACAAGCCACACACAGGAGAATTGCCATGCAAGTAAGCCTAATGCCAGATTTGGGGCCACATGTGTGAGGCATTAGACCCTATGGGTTATTGAGGTCAGATAGGCATACTAAGTGACTCTTTAGTATGTAGGGGCTTATGGAGACATTTATGTATAAATAAAATTTGGTATGGAAGCACAAAGTTAGGGCAGATTGAATATGATATTCTTATTCAAGGTAAAAGTTGCAGTCATCAGTCCTCGGTACAAGAAATAATCTGCAGACATGAACAGTAATGCCACAAATGAAAGTAAAAGATCACAGACAGCCCCGCTCTTAGCCTATGTCCACTTGATGCTCCCCAGTTTTAGCTCAATTTTGCTGTGCATATCGAGGTAAAGACAATGTTTCCCAGGGGGGTGTTGGGGGTCAGAGACCTCTAGCAACCCTCCCCTAAGGCAGTGCCAGTGAGCAACTAAAATTGATGAATAAATTTTATAATGTGGAATCGGAACTTAGTCTCTGGCAAGTGCATCAGTACTGTAGAGAATTACCCAAAATTTACCAAAGAAAACCACACTGAACAAAGTGATTCCTCAGCCAATGGGTAACAGTTGGCCAAAGTACATGTATAAAGCTTGGATTTTTTTTTTTTTTTTTTTTTGTTCTTTTAGTAATGACTAATTCATTGTCAACATGAAAATGATTTCATAATAATTCATATAGATCAGTAATCAACATGTCACAAAACTGTAAAAGCTGAAAAAACTGGCCAAAGTAAAAAAACCAAGGTGTGTGTTATCCACAAAGTTTTATAAGTATTGCTAGGTTTACAATAATTTTCTAGAACATTTCCAATCTTTGAAAACATCAACTTTGGTACCAAAATCCCTAATGTCTACTACCAAAATAATAATGGTCAAATCAATAAATAACCACAACAGAGCCTCTTCCACACTTGCACAGCTTGGTTGACATCAAGCATAAGGTCCATCATTTGGACCTACTATCTTACCATTTAGATATGGTGGAGATTTAGCACTCACTATAAATGCACAATAGATATCATAAAGAGTCCAGTGATTCTCAAATTAGATGGGTTTTAAGATGCTCACATGTTCTAAAACATTTATCTGATTTACCTTTCACTGGTACTAGTTTCCTTGCATCTGACCAAGCAAATCTTTCAATAGAGAATTATAAAACTTTCCAAAATGTGAATAAAATTATGTGTTCAGAAACAACAAAATAAAAACAGTATAGTTTTACAAACATAAAAAACAGAGCAAAATTGGACTAAATCTTAGAAACAGAAAGGTATATTTTTCTAATAGTTCTGCATAATAGATTGTGATGATTTTACATACATAGAAATTATTACGTGGAAACCTTCTAAATCCCCCACTTTCCCGGACCTGATAGCAGGCGAGAGCATGAAAAGTACCAGGAAACTTGCAGGGTAAAATGCAGTCTACACAGAATCATTCACTCGGCCCTATATTGTCTAATACGGAGGCTGTGCCCCCTGTGACTCACCAACCCCTGCCCAGGATAACAATGAATCCTCCACATATTCGTGGCAGGAGAAAGCATATGACTGCCATGTGGGAGCAGCATTGCCAAGTCTGTCTGATGCTCTCTCCTGCCATGCCATATTGTTTAATAATTTCCCCACCATTTCCCTGGTACCATTCCATGCCCACCCCTTCTATCGGGGCCAAGAAAGTAGGGATTGGGGGGCTTTCGTTCAATAAAACCTACATATTTGCATTATAGACAGTGAGAGGAATCCATAGATACCTAAATCGTCGCGATCCGTTAAGCGGACGCATTAGAAAAAAAGAAAGGACGATTACCCAAGAGGCCGAGACAGGGCGCCAGCAAGGCACTCCCGGCGCCCCCACCAACGCTGAACACGGGCGCCGGTGTGGGCGTGAGAGCGACACTGCCAGGGAACTGTGGGCGTGTGAACAGTGTACGACAGGCACTAAGACATCCTCCCACTGCTCCCAACACTGAAGGAACCCGAGTCACCGCGAGGAGCGAAGTCATAACGTGAATGGTTTCTGTGGGACTGACGGGATGTTTTGGCTGAAGTTCTGTTGTTCTTGAGGGTTGTTCTCACTGAAAGGAATTCTCCTTATTTTGGGTTATTTTTCCTTTGTTTCTCTCTATTTTATATCATGTTTCAGCATAGAATTATTATCTAATATCTATAAGCTGTTATATAAATTTTACCTCTAAAATATTTTCCAGAAATGAGTGTATTAGAGAAAACCACTGTTAAATTAATGGCCTAGGCCGAAAGAGCTTATATCCGCAAGTCAAATTGGCGTTTTTTTTTTAGGTTACAGACTATCAAATATACTATTTCCGAAAAAAATAATTCACAAATCAATTTCTATCATAATACAAGTTGAGAATTAATTTTGATTCTAATAGTGAAGCACGAATTCAAACATTTTAAACAGAATACCGGAGTGTAACCCGTATATAATTACGCATTCAGATGTCAGAAATCTCAACAGTTTAGAGATGTGAAGATACATCACTTGGGAGAATATTTAAAGATTGCAGAAGGCAGTTTGACTTCATATAAGATAATATTGTGAGAAATTTACATGTTTATGTCTTCGTCAAAGGCTACACTTCCTTAACCAAAGCAAGAGGAAAGAAAAAGATGGTGATGAGTTCTTATACGCGAGACATTTCAAGGACAGGTGAGATATTTTTGATATGATGTTATTATTGCTGGAAGGGTGTGGCTTGGAAAGCTGTTGGATATTTTATAAATTGCAGTACTACAGTTTTTATTAGTACCCGTTATTGTATATAGATGATAAAAGTTATATAGGAAGATAAGGTCCCCTATTTAGTGTGATTATTCTGGTTATTATATGATCACGATCTCTTTAAATCAGCAAGATATTTCTGCAGAAGATTAGTCAGTTTCAAGACAAGTGAAAGATTGCACATCAAATTAGGCAGTGCTGTGCAAGGTGGACAATTGGCCATGAGAAAATGGGCCTATGTAGGAAAGGTACACCTGTGATTACTGCCGCCTCAGAAGTAGTCACAGGTGTGTTAGAGGTAATGTGGGATGAATTTTGATCTTGTAGTTATAAAATTTTGTGAAGTTTCCTTGCAGATCATCTCAATTTTTAATATACTACTGTTTTGCTTAAGCAATTAAGAAATATAATAGCCACGCCCCTTGTTAAGTGATCTAGATTGACAGCATGTATTGTCCATGGAGGCAGTATTGTTCTTAACATTCACTTTTAAAAAGTGCTTGGTAAATGTTTAGAAGACTTTGCAATGACTTTAAGATTGGAACTTTTCCCACACCAATATTGGTTTGTTCTGTCTAATTCCACTTGAAATTATAAATGTCTTGTAGGCATTTACCTGGTGCTGTACCAAGTGATACTCTGGAGGAAACTGAACAAATAGATTTAGTATATTATTTTCAGTTTTGGATATAGGATATGGAAAAATATATAGATTTGATTTATTGCTTAATTTGAATTACTTTTCTTCTGTATCATATTTACTTTTTTGCAGATTGACAATAAATTTAGTTATTATATAATATATATGAAAAAGATTAAGAGCAAGATCTGTCTTTCATTGCCAGTATAACTGCAACTTTAGTTGGATTTCTTTTTATTAGGGAACCAGTATAAAGATAGATAGTAGTACAGGGGTATATACAGGTATGTATTGTTATATATGTTTACATATCATTTTGTTAGCCACTGTATTGCCATCTTTTACTGTGGCAATTAGGGTGTTGCAAGACGTGACGTGACACCAAAAGCTGTCTCGTGATCGGAGGCGAGACAGACCTTTAAGCTCTGCCCATTTCTGTGATGTAATGGTTGACGCCTTTCTATTTTGCTGTACTGGTTATTTTTCTGACAGTTACACAGTATTTTGAAATATGATATTTAAGATGGCTT